GTGACTGAAATGCCGGCTGAAATGCGTGCCACACCAAAGACCAGAAGGCTGCAATAGCTCTTCAAACGAAGAGATCGAGAGATCTTAGAGCTTGGCATTTGATTAAAATTGTGCCTGGATACCTGGAGGTGACCTGGAGCGGATACTACCTACCTGTAAGAACTTAGAAGGATGACCATTGACGAAGATGTTGTCATAAACTGTCACGTTTCGACACCCAGAGCACGCAGCACTGCCACAGTCTACAGACTGCAATTGTACAATGTACGATTATGTACCCGTATGTACGGCATCCTGGCAAACAATACCCGGAAATTTGGGGTGCCCACTGCACTGCCCACTGCCCAGTGCCGAGTCCTGCCGACCGGCGACCATGTCCGACTTCCACGTGGCGGAAGGGCGCTTGAGGACTCCAATGCCGGCAGGTCTACTAAATGCGCGTGCCAGAGTTGGGACTCGGCGATGCGTTTGGATACCTTCGGGAATTGGGTTCTATTTTTCAGGGCTAAGTTAACCCTATCCTTTACCACCGGTATATTCACTTAACTGATATATTTCTTGTAAAAGCCTATGCGGTACGGTGGTCCCGGGGATCGTCCTCCGGGACAAAGTAGGACGGTATTCCACCTCAACGGTCGTCAGTTTCCTACTCCCGGATTGACGGGAGCCGGGCCGCAATTGCATCGGCTGTGTGATTTAAATTGTATGATTTGTGAAGATTACATATGTATATGTGAAACCGCGCATTTTGACGAAGGTGGTCAAAGACTCAAAGATCGAACAAGAAACTGTGTGTCAGAGACTCGAAGTACGGTACCATATCCGTACTGATTCGGTAGAATTATTCCAGATTCCGCACTGAGCGGCCAGTGAAGTACTGACCATACCAGGGGTTCTAGCAGGAATTTGCCCGGAGGCCCTTGGGCGCCCCGGGGCTCCACCCCGGGGTGCCAAGCCGCGACCCTCGGGCGCGGCCGGCCGCCCCTACCCAGTCCAGACAGGGCTCGGCCCTCCGGGCCGGGGCGCTCTGGCGCCCCGCTAGAACCCCTGGGTCACCATACGTGAGGATTCAGGAATGTGGACGCCCGAGTCCCGACTCCCGAGGGTCGAGACCGTACATGCATAGGACGACTGGTCAACGCTTGCAATCTTGACTCTGCACAGTGCACTGGACTGCATGTGATCCCGGCCATATGATAGGTAGACCAGAAATGGCCGCTTTGAACCCACGCTGGCTTCATTGCACCGACAACGCAGATCGGAAGCGCTGGCACGGTAAACCATGTCGTGCAGTGCCAATGCAGCTCAAGGTAGCAGCCAGGCTCGCCATTTGGTGTTCCCTTGAATGTCCCGCTGAATGGCCATTGTTACCTATTGTGGGGGCCTATATGACCTGCGCAGTTGAAGCACGGAAACTTGAAGTCTGCAGTGCTTGGCGCGGGCCTCTGATCTGGAAAGAGCACCTGCAGGACGTTCAGATTGATGTGCGGCGCTCCTAAGCTTGCACATAAAACATGGTGATTGTATGCAGCTTGAGGGGGCCTCTGCAACAATTGATCAGCAAACTTTTAAAGTAAAGTGCAACAATGCTCTTCGGCGCTGTAGTCCTGCCAGTTTCAGCTTTTGCATTGAGTACCGCCGACGTTAAGGCAATGTGAACGTTTGAGCTCTGGCAGATGGTATAACACACGCACAGTGCAACAGAGGCAGACAGAAAAGTTGTAGGTCTCAGCAGCTTTAGTATCGTTTCAACCGGCATTCTTGGTGGTGGTATAAGCATTAGCTACAATTGAGATTTCACAATAGAAGGCTCACCGTTTGCAACTTCAATGTCGACTTGCTAGTCCGCTAAGATTGCCTGCTTCAATCGAGGCAGGAGGCCCACCATTGTGAAAGGGCCCCACATGCGCACAATGGTGAGCCAATCCACCAATCCAAGCTACCATCTTGGCCTAGTGTCAGTATAATGTGCTTACCGTGTAAAAGGTTCCTGGATCAGGATATGACGAACTCAAGAACGGATATACAGGTTTGCAATTGCAAGCAAAAGTAGACCGTCACAGGGTTGTTTGTAAGGCACAGCGCCGGGCCTGTGTTGCTCAGAGACTGAATGACCAGGCCATCAACAACCCTAGAGCAGACAGACTGAGATGACTGTGCACACAGCCAGTCGACCTGGCTGATATGCACGGTGATGATGAGCTGCCAATCAATCTGTTAATACTAAAGTGTCACAGGGTCAGCAGCGTCTTGTGGCTGCCTCTAGACGCATTGCAGATGATTAAGCGAAGATGCCGCAGTTTGTGCAGTATAAAGTCCATGTTTGTGGCTTGAGAGGAGGTATGGTTTTTGGGAAATGACGACATCATCTTAAGGTGGTGGACAATAGCGGATACTTGCACGCGGAAGAGCGAGGTTTGCTGTGGCATAGATACTCTTGTTGTCAGGGTTGCTTTGAAGCAAAGAAGGCCGGGTGTTCTGTCATGCTTCCTGCAAACCTGTTTGTGAAGGAACAGGCAACAGGTGCTACTGTCAATTTAGAGAAGGAGGAGTCGAAGGTTGTCTTGCTTGCAAGGAGCTTAGCAGGTGATCAGTGCACCATTTTTTGTGTTGTGGCAACATGCCTTTAGCTGCTTGCCGGGTATCCACTACATCGGAATTAAAAAGAACTGAGCGTAAGGTGAGGGATCCCTCTCCTGCTGTATAGTCTCGCCTGACGTGTACCTCTTCCTTTGCAGGGGCAATATCAGCCTGCATCATGCCAGAGATTAGTTTTCAGCGCAGCGCTTGCCACCCTTCTCATACTGGCCGTAACATGTACTGCGGCATCAGCAGCCCTCGAGTCGAAGGGGGGGCGCACGCACAGACAAATCCTGCAAGTCGCTACTCCCAGTCCCTCAGCGGCTGCACCACTGAGCACATCTCCTGAGGAAAGTCCCACGCCCCCACCAACCAAGACCCCTTCAGTCACCACCCTCCCTCCCACCCCTGCGACTCCTCCCCCTACAACAGATGTCCCCGCTACAGACCCTCCCACCCCCCACCAACTAAGACCACCCTCCCTCCCATCCTTGCGACTCCTCCCCCTACAACAAATGTCCCTGCTTCAGACCCTCCGACGTCCACCCCATCTGTGGCCCCAACAGGGACCCCCTTGAGCACTGCTCCACCTCCGCCACCCCCAGTGTCAGCAACTCTGGCCCCGCCTATAGGGACACCCCCGGTCACTACTTCCCAAGCCACGCAGCAGGCCACTTTACCACCACCGCCCCCTCCTGTACTGCCTACCTCGCCTCCGCCAACTTCCTTGCCTCCTACTGAAAGCCCCTCATCATCATTTCCTTCTCCTCTTTCTGGTACTCCCCTTCCCAACATTGTCTTATCCGCAGCAACTTCCCCACTTCTATCCCCATCTGAGTCCACCCCAAACACAAGTCCCCCATCCACCCCCCTTCCTTCTGTCGTTCCGGTTTACATTGACCCCCCGTCCCCAAGTCCAGTGTCTGCCCCAACTGGTAGTAGTGCAGCCCCAACCAGCCCCCCACTTGCTGAGAGTACCATTGCTCCACCAACCAATTCCCCCTCCCCAACTCCAGTCTTGTCCTACATAGGAACCCCGGACACCCCCGGGCCAGCACCTACTGTTCCACCAACACTTCCCCCCGTTCAATCAGCTCCTCCCACAGGCCTTTCCCCAACCACCCCTTACCCACCTCCTTCAGAAGAGATTGCAACTCCAACCCCTTCTCCAACCAGTCCTGCTCCGGACTCGACATTCTCCCCACCATGGGCTGCTCTTTCCAACGACTTTCCTCCTCCCCCCCTGGGTGTTATTTCCACCACGCCCGCAGCTACTGCAACCGGAGCTGTTCTGCCAGCGCCCCCACCCTTTTCAACCGGTCCTGCTCCTCTTCTTTCCGAGTCGACACTCTCCCCACCATCCGCTGTCTTTTCTGTCGACTTCCCTCCCCCGCCCTTAGATAATCCTTCCACCGCGCCAGCCATTGCAGCCCGAACTGTTCTTCCAGCGCCCCCGCCCTCCCCAACCAGCCCTGCCCCTTCTCTTCCTGACACTCCAATCTCCCCACCATCCGATGCTCTTCCAGTCAACTTTCCTCCACCCCCCCTCGGAACCCTCTCCTCTGGGCCACAAATTGCAACCCAAAGCGTTCTTCTGGCGCCCCCGCCTCCAGCTCGTCCACCCGCTTTCCTGGCCACCAACTTAACCTCTGCCGAGCCGCCTCCACCCAGCTTATTCCCTCCGCCAAGCATCGGTATTACGGATGACAACCTGTTTGGCTGTTCCTGCACTGAGTTCGGTTCTGGTTCGGGTGCCGGCGGGGCAGCTTGCCTGCCTCGGGGAGATGACGCCTTTTCAAGAGAAGCGCCCCTTGTGCTGGTGAGTTTTCCCGCTCCTTACACTGCACTCCATATGCCGCCTCAGATACAGCTCGACTTGGAATTGAGGGCAAATGCTGCTTATAATATGCAATTCCTGGAGTAGCTGAGCTGATCAAAATCTTCTCCATCAGATCTAGCTGCTTCATACTAGTGCCTTCAAAGGCCGCGTGTATAAGCTGATTGTCTTGTGAATGGGAGGGGCACTAAGTAGATCTTGGCGGGCTCGAAAGATGAGAAAAGCTGCAGACTGTTGGATGCACATGCATTTACTACTTCCACTGTAAACAAGCTGCACTTTCACATTCAGCGGGTTCTATTTTTGCTAGAAAACACCATCGATTGCCTCTCTCCACACGTCCGTTCAACATCGCACGCTCTACTCTTCCCCGCCCCCATCATGATCTAACATGGACATCTCGTTGAGGCTTGCAGCCCATGAAATTCTTCGGCTCGACTGTTTCTTCGCTGTTCGTCAACATCAACGGGGACCTGACGTTGGACCAAGAGTACGGCGCATATACTTCACTGCCATTTCCGATACAAGGTGAACCAAAAGCCTTCACTTCACTAGTCTTCGATATTGAAGCACTTATGGCGAGCATCTTTATCCTCTGATTTCAGGGCTTGGCTGGTTAGCTCCTGTGCTGTGTCGCTTCGCTAGACGGGCCTTTTATCCAACTAACTTAAACTTTTGAATCTGCTTGCCAGGCGACAGGCTTAGGTGGTAACAGTGCCCTCACTACATTGCCTTGTAATCTAGTGTGCCCAGCTGACAATCTGCCAGACCGAAGCGACCCTTCGAAGATATAAAGGGGCTTCCTTGGCTGCCAGTTCGGAGCCGGGCCGGGTTAATGAGAACCTGAGCATCAATCTGGAATCCGACCTTCAAATAGGGCCTAGCGCCGGTTCACATGCTTCTTTTCTGGGGTGACATGGAGCTGGTCCGTTCTAGCCGTGGTTTCGTTTTGGTAAGAAGCTAACGCGCGTCGGTGGTTCAAGGAGAAAAGAAAGCTTGTGCAAGATATATATTATATAAAATGTCCGTTTTGAGTTGGTGAGAAAGGCAACAGGCTAGGGTGAGTCGATGCAGGGCCCGGCCCTTGGTCGAACCTTAACCCTCTTTCTTGGCCTACTGATCCGGCGACGCGAGTCAATCTAAACGAAGCGTGGCCGTCTTCAGCACATCTATCGTATTGCAGGTCAACCATGTTCCAACGGCCTCTCAGCTTTACCTGGTTCTTGGCTGACTTGTCGAAGCGTCCACTGTGAAGAGGTAGCCAAACACTGACGCCTTGATTTGCAGTTGGCGGCATCAAGATCTTTGCTGCTTTTTGGGCGGACGTGGACACCAATTCCGATCCGATAGCCGACTCGGATCCGGCCACCAGCTACGTCTGCTACCGCAGCACGGCTGACGCCGCTGACGTCAGCAAGTTCCAAGGAGACATTGCAATCGCGTTTCCGTCGGTCACCTTCAATCCCGCCGCGGTTTTCATCGCCTTTTGGTGAGCAGATGCGAGTCGCGAACTTTCTTCTTTTCAGATCAAGGACGCCTCGCTTTTCAATCTTATCGAGCGGACATCGGGTGTGCGAGAATGATCACGTCGGCTGCTTCGTTCTAGGGTTCCAGCATAGTAGCTCCTCAAGTAGAATCTCTGCCAGTTGACGATGCTGACGGAAAAAGCGAACCAGATCAACTTGACACAGGAGTATATAGTTTCTCTGTGCGGTTATGGCACCAACGGGCACATTCAGAGTGCGGAAAGCAGGGCCACCGTCTGGGTCTTGGTATCATTGCCGCAGGCGTCTTGTTCGCAGTGCCGACGCCTCGATGAGACCGAAACGTTTCTGCAGCGGAAGCGAACGTACTGAGGAGAACCTGGATGTTTTATGCTGACGCACGTGAGCGTTCATCCAGGCACAACGTGGGCTACTACCCTGCACAGTACAACAAGCGCAACACGTTTCAGGCGGTGATTGGTTACACCGCCGGCAACACGTTCGTGTGTTACTACTACACGGAACTCACCTGGACCACAGGGCAGGCAAGCGGCGGCACCGATGGCCTGGGGGGATACCCCGCGCAGGTCGGCTTTGATGCCGGGGATGGGGTCAATTACTTCTCTCAGCCAGGTAGCCAGACGGCTGCCGTCCTCAACTTCGTAAGGGAGAGCAACATGGGCGTGCCTGGTGAGCTGCTTTTGAACCCAAACTTGGAAGCCTGGCACTACAAAAAGCGAGCCCGTATGGCGTTAAAGAACATCGCGGCTCTCAAAGATGTGCCACCTGCTTACGACATGCAGCTTAGCAGGGTTGCACCTGAGGCTAAGTCATATGATGCAGCTCGTCATGAAGCACCGCCACAAAATGAGGGAACATTTCTGTTGCGCTCAAACCACCATCCCGCACTTTCTCTTCTTCCTTCCCAATACTTTTTTGTGTCTTCTTTGTCTTTGTCTTCGTTACTCGAGCAAGCCACTACTATACTCATTCTGGATATAATCGTCACCTACTCGAGCGGTTTACCCTACCCTTTCAGTCGACGACTCTTTTTTGTGTAATATTCCTACTTTTTCTCGCCTACTTCGTCGACTCGAGCTTTCATGTTCGACCCTCCTACTTAACTGCTGACGTCACTTTCTTTTACATTTTCACTCGTCGGTTCCTCTCCACGCTACTTCTTCCCCGTTATTATTCTACGCGTCACTCTCCTTCTCTTTGACTCCGCGTTCGACGCCATTTCGACTACTTCTCCTTCACTACAATCTCCTGACGTTCCCTCTTTCATTCCCTCCACCCATTTCTCCACCCAGACCTTCATACTCCTTCTTTCTTCTTAAAACCGGTTTGAATACCTTCCGCCTGACCGGTCCGCCTTTGGACGCTTGGCAGCACGAACAACTCGAACGCAATTGACCTGAATCATCCCTTGGACTCTCAAACGCTTGACCTTTCCGTCCGCGTACACCACTGCCCACATTGGCGACGAAAGTGCATGCGCGCTCAAAGTTGCTAGTGACACATTTCCGGCCTGACACATTTTTGGCTTCACACTCGTAACCTCCAGTGGTTTCAAAGCCTCTGGAAGGGAAATGTTCCAAGATTAGCAGCTTGATGGTATTCAACAAGGGCGTTGCCAACACTAGGATTCCGCTGGATACATGTGCCGTTGCCTAGCAACTCGTAGCGTAGCTTATTCCGCTCCCTCAAGTGGCTAGGGGGGTAAATTGGACACACAATCTATGTACAGCCATGTTTAGCCTCCTAGTCCGGAAAGAGCACGTTTGTGTCTATCAAATCTGCACTTTCTCAATCCCTACGATCTTGAGGCCTCAAGTAACTCAAGATTCGATCAGATGGGCTCTGAGGCTGACAGAAAACATGTTGCTTTTCAAAGCATCACTTCCTCGGACAGAAACGGACCGTCAGAATCCATTGTATATTAAGTATCCGTTCATCTTTTTGTTGTTCGCCTTTGCGCAGGCAAGTTTTGCTACCAGGTTGCGGTGGCCATCCAAAACCCGACCGGGGTTTACGCCGGCGGACCGTACTCGGTGCAGAGCGGATCGTCCATCACCCTAACTGGGGAGGCGTCCAACGACGGTTCCCTCTGCGGGCCTCTGACGTTTTCCTGGGACACGAATGCCAATCCGCCGGCGTTCAACGTCGACCTGACGGGGCCCTCGCCGACGTTTGTGGCGAATGTTCCGGCTTCCTTCCGATACGTTGTGCTGCGGGTGACCGACAACTGCGGCGCGACGTCCGTGGACACTTACATCAACGTCACGGGTGAGAGCGGGCTTGGGTGAACACCATCAGGTCAAACGAAGCCGCCCGTAACAGTCTAAGAAAGCATGTAATCAAATCACCTTGCGTCCTGATGAGTTGCTGTACTCTGGTCCGAAAGTGTGGGCCCGTTTGGCCACTTCCTAGCTGTCCTCTCGGCTCGAATCCGCCATCCAAATACATTGCTAGAACAGATTCTAATCTTTATTGGCAATCTCTGTCAAGGCGAAGAATTCTTCTGTTTCCCCGTGAATGCAAAGCAGGTTTGCCTTTGATCAGTTCAGTGAATCCTAACGTTGAGTCCAGCAAGCACCTTTTATCATACCAGTTAATCGGGATGGCACGGCCGCCTTGGACTCGCAAAGAGGCAATTCCACGTATCAAGCGTTCTTCGCGGTGATCCGGAAGTCCGGCTTCATCAAAAGATACCGTGAGTTCCAGCAACGTGTCATAGCACTGACAGGTCCTGCATAATCATCAAGCAGAAGACTTTAAACTGTCTTCTGGCCATCGTCACTTTCCGTTCTTACTCCGTTTATCCAATGATATTGCAGCCGCTCCACTTCCCCCGCCTGCGCCGAGCACCCCTGCGCCCAGCCCTCCGACAGCAGAGCCCCCGCCACAAGCGACTCTGCCAGGCTTTCCCCCTCCCATGCTGACAGACACGCCAAGGCCTCCCCCATTTGAGCCAGTACCCCCCCCGCCTGTGACGACTGCTCCAGTACCCCCCCCGCCTGTGA